TGTTTCATAGAGAGAAAGATTACTTACCTGATTGATGAATAAATAGCATTGTCAACACGGTCTCCCTGGTTGGAGGGGACCCCTGAAGTATAATATGGAAGGACAGATGTTTCATCTGGGGTGGTTTCCAAGGCCTTTAGAAGAGGTATGCACTAAACTGATATTACGGGATGACTAATTCAGCCCCTAAGAGGGAGAGGAGGAAGGCTGACCCCACAACCACAGCAAACACCGTGGCAGGGGTCTCTTTGGTTCCCAAATCCTGATAAGAGAGTGGGCATGCCTTGTCAGCCAGTGCCTCCTCTTTGGGCTGTTTTTCCAATGAAAGGGCACTATCATGAGAAAGGCAGCCATCTTCTGAGTCCTTACCTGCTGTGCATCACAAAGGGAGGGCCAGAAATTGCATCGTGATCATCACACTAAACCTCAAAAGCCTACTCTGGTGGGAACTAGAAAGGCAATCACAATCAAACTGAGGAGGGGACAAGGCACTTGTAGTGAGTTACTTTTTCTCAGCAGGGTGCAACTTTGGGGTCTTCCAGCTGACCCTCCAGAATGAATCAGACATTAATAAAAACTGTTTTCATAATTGGTCCCTGGGTGGCACAAATGGTTTGCACTCAACTAATAACTGTAAATGTTGGTGGTTCCAATCCTCCCAGCAACACTGTGGAAGAAAGATCTGGCAATCTACTTCTGTGAGATTGCAGCCATTGAAAACCCTATGGTGCACAGTTCTACTCTGAAACATGTGGGGTTGCCATGAGTAGGAACTGACTCAATGACTACAGGTATTATTATAATTATTTCAGTAACTGCAAAAATAGCTGCCATTATTTGAATACTTACTGTGTTCCACATAGTAGAATATATAATTTAGACAATATTATCTTATTAAACTCTCACACAAAATACCCTATGCCAGAATCTGAAAAATTTACTCCCCATAAATTCTCTCTGTAAGAATTACTAGAGGATGTATTCCAGCAAAATGAAAAGAAGAACAGGGCAAGTGCTTTCATTAAACTCAAATCTACAAATGAGGAAGCACAAATTCAGAAAGATGAAGTCACTTGCCAAGGTCACACAGCTACAAAGTAGCCAACTTGGGAACTGAGACTAGAATGGTCTCATTCCCAAATCCATGCTCCATGTGGCTGTGGTTGTTAGTTGCCATCGAATCCATGCTCTTAGCCACTATAACTTTGTGGTCACTAGGAGATGTGGGAGATGAGGATTATACTTTCAACACAATCAAAAAGTGCTGGTGCTTCCAACATAGAAACATGGCATGTGTAGAAAAACACCATTTACACCTGATATGCCTGAATACGTGAGGTTGCTGCCTCTGTCTCAAACAGTTTTGAGCTTAAAACTAATAATCTTTTGTCTGGCACTTCCAGAAAGGGCCGTATTCTGAATTCTAGGAGGTGTATCATTTATCCATTCATCACTTACCCCCAAAGTCTTACCACACAGTACTCTCAGGCCTGCCTCTTCCTTCCTTCCTATCCATACTCTCCATGGAAAGAGACAAGCTTCCAAAAGCCTCTCAGAAACAACTTTGTGTGGTTTATGTCTGTTTGTTTGTGTTTTAGACAAGCATGCTTTGCCAAAGACTACAACAGTTCTGGGAAAAGTTGGTCTGCATCTAAACTAGAAAGCTAGACGTGATGCATGGGGGTCAGAGGGAGAGGATGGGAGAGAGTATCTCCTGCTGTGGACAGAAGTTCTATCCACTTTTCACTGAGCTGTGAAGCCCTTCTGATAGTGGCTGAGAACAGCCAACACAGGCTACCAGAGTTATATAGCTGTGGCTATATAGATGGTGGCCATTTTGAGGCATAGTTAATAAAGGGGGTGAACCCAGGAGCCCTAACAGGCTTTAGCTACCACTGAGAAGGGTGGAACCATAGGCAAACTCGAAGCCCTGGCCTGGCCTCTCTGGCTTCTCAGGTATTCCCCATCTGCTCCAGACAGTCAGGCAGGAAAACAGGAAGTGATTCTAGCTATGGGTATGGGTGACAGGCCTGTGACTGACTGGAGAGGAGAATCCTGGAGACCACCTGCTTTCCACTATCTTGCCCACCCCCCACTCTGGGTGAGGATGCTGAAGCCGGGTGAAACGAGGGCCAGTGAAAAGACTAGAGAGGACAGGCTACAGGGGCCAAGAGAAGGTACATCCATTCCTGCGGTTACTACTCCAGTTCCAAAGTTTATCCAATGCTTGCTCTGAACATAGCACTGGTCTAGGCACTGTGTGCATGTGTGTGTGCGTGTGTGCATGTGCGTTAGAGGTTGTGGAGGATTTATTACTTTGTGTGTGGCCTTTATACCCATGGTCTTTTGTAACTCCCACCCAGGTGATATGTGATACAGTAATTGTGGCCTACCAAGGGGATTAGTCAGTTTTGCCTTAAAAGAGAGCCAATTCCAGAGCAAAGAGAGGAGCCTACCACCACCAAGGAAGGAGAGACCAGCAGGAGAGACCCAGCAGCAGGAGACAGCATGGTGGGCTTCCTGGCCTATGGAGAGAAAAAGCTGAGTGTCTTTGGGGAGAGCCGAGGGCCAGGTAGGTGTATGCCCGTGAGCACAGCCAGGGAGAGGCTATCCTGATGGAAGAACTGTATCCTGAGTGTTCTTGAGCCTGAATTGTAACTGTTACTTCCGTAATAAACCTCATAATTGTGAGTATGGTCTGTGAGTTCTACGTGGCCATTGCAATGAATTATTGAACTCAGTAGAGAGTGCTGTGGAAGGGATGATTGGTGTCAGAATGAATAAAGATGGCAGAAAGAGGAGGCTTGTCTGGCCTCCACCTCATGGGAGTTAGCCTTGCACTGTTGATCTTGGTTCTCCTTCCCCCTTGTGGGGTTGGAGGAGGTCAGACACCTCCCCCATGCAGTTCTTACAGGGGTACAGAGAACCATGCAATGAGGACCATGCAATGGACTGTCCATCTTACAAATACACACACATACAAAAAACAAAAAAACAAAACCAAAACAATAAGACCATGTGGCTGAACAACATAGAGCACTATCCCAAAGGGTATTTGAGAATTTGCAGCAAAAAGAGACCACAAGAGTCAGAAAGCGGAGAAATCACGTGTGGCTGGAAAGTCCACAATAGTCTCAGCAGATGTATGCCTTAAAAGGAACTTTGATTCACAGATTTTTTTTTTTTTTTTTTTAACATTCCACTCCTCGATGAACTCCATTTTCCTTGAGAGTAGGAACAGGGTCTCGTTTACTTCTATAACTCGGTGCCTAACACAAGCCTGGCACAGAGTAGATACTCAGTACACTTCTGTTAAATGACAGTGAATGAATGGGTAGACATGGAAAGGTCAAATGAAGAGGCCAAATATCATTGTAATGAAAAACATAATCTTTGGAGCTGACTGTCCCAGGTTTGAATTACGGCTACCCTTTACTACATATACAAGCAAACTGCCACACCTCTCTCTGCCTCAGTGTCCTCATTTGTAGAATGGAAACAAAATTATCAACTAAACCAGATGGTTGGAAGAATCCAAGGATGTGGTGCTGAGCACAATGCCTGGCACACACTAAGTGTTCTGGGGATGATCTCTATCTTTCCCACCCGGGAGAATACCTTAGTCTGGGGAAGAACAAAGCACATCATAGTATCTCACACATTGGTCACATAGAGACAAAAGTCGATTATTTTTATTAATGTTTAAAATGATCCAGAGTAAGATGATCACAGTGGCAAGGCCTATGGCCACAGATGTCATGTTTAGAGAACATGGGGGGTGGGGAGGGGCTCTGCTCTATGCTGTCAGACCACACTGTGGTAGTATTTTCTCTGCTGGGCCACAGTTTCAGAGGGTGGCAGTTTCCCAGGTACATTCAGAAGAAACCACTCAGGGTATTGAAGGAACATTAAACTGTATCCCAAGAAGAGTGTGAAAGGGGCCAGTAACTAGACTTCAAAAACTAAGGAAAGGGATAGACCCCATTATGCATGATTCCAGGAGGTCAAACTGCGGCCAATAGGCAAAACTGCAGATTTCAGTGGGAATCTGAATTTCAGAAAGGCTGCTTTACTCGCACAAGCTCACAGTGTAGGGGAGTGGCAGAGCAAGTTGCTGAACCCAGAGCTGGGTGTGCATAACTCCAAGACCTTGTTGTTCCAACTCTCAGTTGTACAGGCAGTAGAGGGGGAAGGGCAGAGTATGTACTGAAATCGCGTTTCTCTGTCCCACCCCCATCCAAGAACATTCTTACAGAAAGCCTGCCTCTTTTGTGCTTTCTTGCTTCAGGTATTTTTGCAGGGGTGAAGGCAGAAGCAGCACATCTCATCATTTATACAAGCCTAAAGCCACTGGATGGATAATGCTGTGAATGAGTAGAGGGTAGGAGGCAAAGGTTTTTAAGGAATCTGCAAAAGAGGAAGGGGACCTCCCCCTGGACTGGGAAGGAGGGGTTATCAGGTGCCATGCCCTGAGGAGATAGTAAGACAGGTTCTCAGAAGCAATGGTGGTATGGTGGGCCTGGGGAGGCAGACCCAAAAAGCAGGGCAAACAGCCTGGCAGAGAGCATGGAAAGCAGAGAGCCCCCAGACCTCAAGAGACCTCAAAAGATCATCTGAGTGAGGATGTCAGTGGCAATGAGGAGCCTCAAGATTCAGGCTCCATTTTCCTAGCTATTAAGTTTGCCGGCTCCTGAGGTCATACTGGGAGGAGAAGCTCCAATAATGAGCAAGAAGGGATTTTCTGCTTATCTGCTCAGATGGAGGCTCAGGGTCAGAATAAAGTTGATTTAAAGAAATAAAGACATTGACATTCTTTGCACATCTGTATTTAGGAAATGAGATTCATACCACAGCTGGAATACAGGTTCCAAATGCTATATAAAATAGCAATGCAAAGACTATGCTGTCCCTCTGCCCTCTGTCCGCTAGTCAGAGGTTTAGACCACCAATCTGCCAGTGTCTGTCCCCTCCACCTCCAGCCACCCCCCTTCCTGCCTTACCTGGGGAGCAGGTGCTTGCGGCTGACACACAGGGCTGTCTGGTAGTCCTGGGTCACACATACTTTGTGAGGGCTGCATTTCACCTTCAGGCAGGGGTCCTTGGATGGGTCGAGGGCTGAGACAAAAACAAGAAAAAGAGGAGGGTCAGGACCTCTGGGGAAATTTAATTTCTCTTTCTACTCAAACAAATGTGGGAAATCAGCCGACCATATGTTTCCATTCTGTGTTACTTTCTTAGGCTTGTGGGGATTGGAATGGAAACCCAATCCAAGGGGAATTCTGTGTCTATCGTACACATTCTTTTTTAACATCTGGACAGTGATTCTTCTGTGCACTGGGGAGTTTTAATGTCTTCATCTGAGGCAGGAATTACTTATAAAAATCCTTTTGACTCTTGTGTGATCCAAGGCCTAAGAGCTACCTTTGGTTATTTGTCTGTTATTGCTTTATGACTTCATCCATTCGTAATTTTACTTATTTCCTGTAATGTGAAAAGTTCTGAGGACAGAGTTTTTTGCTTCGGTTCAATAAACTAGGCATTGACTATGTGCATAAGCCTGTTTTAAGTTTTGTGAGGAACTTCAAGATATGCAAGAGAGTTTTTGACACAGAAAGTTACAGTGTAATGGGTGGGGGGAAACTTAGGCATAAATATTTATTGCATAAGGCAGAATTAGATAAGGGCCATGACGGGCATGTAAAATGATAACAGAACTCAAAAGAAAAAAAGAGATCAATTTCTCGGGCAAGGATTAGTGAAGCATTAATACGTGAATGGGAAGTTGAAGGATGGGCAGGAGTTTGAAAAGACAAGATAGAAAGGCAGTCCAGACAGGAGGACTAGCCTGAGCAAAGCCAGGGAGGCACTTCTGGGCAATCGTAAGTTCATCAATCTGACTATTAAGTGTGGCTTTGCAGTTGGAGTAGTAAGGTAAGGGAAAAGTTGATTCCACCAGAAAGAGTCTCCAAAGATAGCAGCACAGACGTTGCCACATTTTCTAGAAGAGGCTGAGCAGCAGGCCTTTGGTTAATCAGCACTCTGCATGCTAAGGTGCACACGTCTCTGTAAAACGAAAGCAATTGTGCCATCTCCCAGTTCCAGGTCCTAAAGTCCATTAGGCAGCAAATCTCTCATAACTGCTCTGCACAGCCAGGAGAAGTGATGATTTTGCCTATCCTCTCCACGCAAACATTTGGTTAAACAAATTGGCATCCCGAGCAGGGACAGCAAAATTGCTATAAGAAATGTCATCGTCTGTGATACACTGCGTTTCTCAGCTATCATAACTTTACCCATACTTAGCGGAAGTCACAACTTCTCTCATTCTGTTTCAGGCCCAGAATCTGAACACCATTTTCTTCAGATGGCTGCTGGGAATTCCTCAAGGGATCCGAACACATAACATCCAAAGGCATTCTGCTGCTTGCATGGCTCAGAGCAGCTCCCCCCACTGCAGCAGCTTCAGCAGGGTGGAGAGCTGCTCACTGTACATAGGAAACAGGGTGCATTTTTAGGCTGGTCAAGACAGCAGCAAGACCCAGGTCCTGGTCTCAAGAAGACACCTGGCAGAGCCCACTTCCCAAGGGACGTGCCCAGGCACTGGGAGCTTAACAGAGGGACACAGGCTGCAAGATGAAAGTGAGGCTGATTGGAGCTCCAGGGACAGGGCACTCACTCCAAGCTCTCAAGCTGAGGCCGCCTCTGGGAGACACATGTCTGCCCTCAGAGTCTCAAGGCAGGGCCTTCCAGACATTGTAGCAAGAGCTTCCTGATCTCAGGTGGAATCCTCTTGGTTCTTGAAGATAAGCCTCATGAGAAGCCAGGAGGCTAGTGCAGTCTCAGGACAGTGAACTTCTCCTTTTCCACTATCTCCCCATGCCTGGGACTGCAGCACAGCCAACTTTGACTAGCTTCCCAAAAGTCTTCCAGAAGACCCAAAGGCAGACATATATCCTCAAACTTGAGCCAAACATTAAGGATGATCACCACTAATGATGATCATGCCTGTCCTTCCCTGCCGCTACTCACATTTCCACCCCACCCTACAATGAAGTAAGGAACTTAATGGCTGTCAAGAAATTTAAGGATCAGACCATTTGCAGACCATTGGCCGCCCCAGCCACGGTAATCAGATGAAGCATTTTCCCAAGTGCCAACTACCACAGAGATCTTGGGATTTCTGTTTAAGTGGATTTCAGAGACAGAAAATGACATGCTAGCCTAGGATGATGGATGTCCAAAACTGCCGTACTGCATGGCAGGCTTTATGGCAGACCTTAAGCTTCTTTTTGCTTCTGCAGCCAACTTCGGAAACACGCAACATCCACACAGGCACCCAGTTGGTCTGAATGGACAGTGCAATCACAAGGAAAATAAGTCAGGCGAGCACAGCGGGCAAGAGCAGACTCTGGGGCGAGGTTCTGGGTTTGAATCCTGGCTCTGCTGTTTATTAACCTTTCTAGACCTCAGATTTTTCCTCTGTAGACAGGAAAATAATATTACGTACTATTACTTGTTGATTGTCCTCAGGATTAAATGAGTTAATGTTTGAGAGTGCTTAAAACAAAACAGTCCTAGCACATGTTAAGCACCTCATAGTATGTTTGTTAATTTGTGTGTGTGTGTGTGTGTGTGTGTGTGTGTGTATACTTAGTCTCAGAGTGAATAAAAAGCCTCCATAATAACAAGAACAATAGTTAGCACTCACTGAGTGTTTTTGACTTAGACGCAGTGAACTAAGCCCTCTAATTGGATTAGCACATTTAATCCTCACAATCACCCGAGGAGTGAGCTGCTGTTAATGTGTCCATTTCACAAATAAAGGTCTTAAAGGTAAGTTGCTGGGGAGAGATCGCAAACTCCTCACCTCTATATGGTGCCCCAGCATCAGAGAATCACCTGGGATCTTCCTTAAAATGTTGATTATGAGGCCCCACTTCACATCAAGTGCTTTGAAGCCCTGAATTGGGATTCCAGATTCTCATGGGTCTCATTCCTAGCACCTAGATGTCCCATATTTGTGAGAGGCCTTCAGAGGAGAATGAGACTCCATGGGAAAAAGCAAGGGGCACCTCCCAGTGCACCCCACAGGACAGGGGCACCGGCCCCAATACTCCCTCCCCCCAAGGATGAGGCACCCAGCTCTTTGCCTCCTCAGTCTGGATGCAGCAACCTCTCAAGTGGCATAATAGTCAAGAATAGCAGGTTTAAGAGCACAATTTCAACTCATGAATTCGTATTATGTTTCTGCAGTCTTGTCCATGGTCAGCCTACCATTAAACTATTAAAGTTTGCCCCTCCTCCAATTCTTGAAGTGAACATTTCTTAAAACAAACAAACAAAAAACAAAAAAACCTCCAACCCAAAATACTAATAAATAAAAATTGCCAGTTATTTAACTCTGTACACATACCTACTTAACAGTTTGCATAAAGAAATCAACTCTGCTAAAAATTAATTACCAGGGTCTGAATACTTCAAACATGTATGTGAATTATTTAGAGTAAACGAACTTCACAGAACAAAAAAACAGTAACAAATCAAGCTGTCAACGTTTATTTAATCACCAGGACACATTTTATTTTTGAAAAGCAGCAACACTGGGATTGAAAGGGGATGAGGACGGTAAAAGGAATGTGTCATTTCCATTTAAATGCTGGCCTCCCAAATATGCTTTTCCTAACAGCCCCAAGGCTCACAGTGACACACTCCTGAAAAGCACTCCTGAAAGAGGATGATAAGAGATCAGAATAATAAGCAATAAGTGGCATTTGAGAGTCCCCTTAATAAAATGCAGGGAAATTGTGCAGGTGAGAAGGTGGGGAGAGAGAGCTGAGGGTTAGTGATAACCCTGACCAGGGTTAGAAGCTTCCTTGTCATGGTGCTAATGATTTCTGGAAGCTGTGCTCCAAGTTCTTCTCTTGGCACAACCAGGACACAGGCTGGTCTCTTCTGGTCCTGATCTTGCCTGAGTCCCCAGAGAGTGCAGGGTCAGGCAGCAAGGGGGCTGGCAGCAGCTCTATGCCTGGACTGCCTCCTGCTGACTCTGAGAAAAGCAGGAAGCAAGAGATCTCTGCCAAATACGCCCAAATGAACCCTTTGCCTATAGCTTCTTGTTGTTGTTAGCTGGTGTTGATCTGGCCCCCAGCTCATGGTGATACCATGCACAACTGGACGAAACACTGCCCAGTCCTGCGCCATCCCCATGACTGGTTGCAGATCAGACTTGTGATTCATAGGGTTTCCATTGGCTGATTTTCAGAAGTAGATCGCCAGGCCACGGGGCTTACCATTTCCATAGGCAGTGATAGCAGGGAGTCATTTCATCTATTCACAATCTTAAGGATGTTTGGACTCCTTTCAGATATCCATGATCTCACTCTTTCCCAAGGCAGGGACAAGCCCACCTTGATGGAATCTCCGCCCCACCCCCCCCCCCCCAACTGCATCCACCCCTCCTTCTGCCCTCCTGAGTCTCTGTAACCACTGTATTTATTCCAATGTGCCTGTTGACCGCCTGGCATGGTGTTTGAGCTGCACCCTGGCTGTCTCCTAAATGGCTTGCACAGTCCCTTAGGACAGAGATGGCCCTCTGCACAGCTGCCCATATGGAAGAAGCAGCTGTATGGGGGTTGGGAGGAGGATGGTGGCCCTCCAGGGCATCACTCCAAGGGGTCCTCACAACATGACAGAGAGAGAGAACCACACCTGCAGGGGCCAGAAGACTGCTGCCTGCCCTCTCTGACTTCTGAGGTATTCTAGAGAGCAAGAGATCCTAGTGTCACCACCTTTTTTTTTGGTTTGTTTTTGGTTTTTTTGCCCAGAATTGATTGGACTGGGTCAAAGACTTGCTCAGAATGACCTATATGAAGCTCCCACCTTTTTGTGGTGCCCAGTGATCTAACATCCATCTGTATCATTTGAACTGTTTATTAAAATGCAGATTCCTGGGCCCCAACCCAATTCCAGTGAATGCAGTTCTCTGGGCTTGGGGTTCAGGTATTGGCACTTAACTTTTTTTTTTTTTTTTTGGGCTTGGTAAAATATATGCAACACAAAACTTGCAGCTCTAACCATTTTTAAGTACACAATTCAATGGCATTAATTACGTTTAC